AWKTGGGGACAAATCTGCGGTAGTATCCCGTTAGGCCCAAGAAGGCTCGAAGCTGGGTGAAGGAGGAAGGGGTGGGCCAGGTCTTAATTGCCGAAAGCTTTTCTGGGTCAGCTTGGACTCCCGCGGCTGAGATAATATGGCCCAAGAAGGGGATGGAATTGGAGGCAAACATGCACTTGGATGCTTTGGCGTGATATTGATTGTCCATCAGGGTTTTGAAAACGTACCCGAGGTGTTCATAATGGTGGGATAGCGAGGCACTGTACACCAATATGTCATCAAAAAAAACGAGTACAAACTTGCGCAAGGCAGATCGAAACAGATCATTCATGGCCGACTGGAAGGTCGATGGTGCGTTGGTGAGGCTGAATGGCATTACGCAGAACTCATAATGACCATCGATGGTACGGAACGCCGTTTTGTGAATGTCAGCTGGGGCTACGCGAATCTGATGGTACCCTGCGCGGAGATCTATTTTGGAAAAGATGGTAGCGCCGTGTAGTTCATCAAGCAGTTCGTCCACGGTAGGAATCGGAAATCTGTCGCGAATTGTGGCGGCATTGAGGGCCCGGTAATCAACGCAGAACCGCCACGTGCCATCTTTTTTTTGAACGAGTAGGAYTGGTGAGGAGTAGGGGCTTTGGCTAGGTTGGATGACGCCATCGGCGAGCATTTCGGTGATGAGGGAGGTCATGATTTCTTTTTGGTAGTGTGGGTAACGGTACGGTTTGACATTGATTGGTTTAGTGTTGGGTATGAGGGGGGTACCGGTTGGGCTTTTTGACAAAGCGTTTGGGCCTCGAAGCCTGTTGGGCATCATGTGGTTGGGTTTGTGTAGCTGAGTGGCCCAATTGGGTTTTGTGAATTTCGATGGGGGTGGATGGAAAAAAAGAATTGCACTCTAAAAAGTGGCCACTGCCAACCATCACAGGAAAAGGGGTAATATTGGTGGGTTGCATGGGTAGTAAGGAAGCAATACGTGGTTGGATTATATTATGTGTGCTTCCACAATCTATAAGGATGGTGACGGGTTGATTATGGATGTAACCAGTGACGCGGACCGATCTTGGTGACTGTAATCCAAAATATGCAGCATCCGAGAGTGAAAGAAAGTGTGGGGGGTGGGGATTGGTTTGGTCAACTTGCGGAGTGGTATTTGGTTTGGGGTCTTCGATAGTAAAAAAACCGGAATCGGGTAAGTGGGCGCTCTCAAGATCATTGTCATTATCGGCTATGAGTAGGAATTGAGGTGGGCTACAAAKGTGTCCGGGTCGATACTTTTCTGGGCATCGAAAACAGAGCCCTTCGGCTCGTCTTTTTTGCAGTGCCTCGGGGGAGAGACGGGTATARGGTAGAGGGGGATGTGGTTTTGGGGCAGGCAACAATCCTGCTGTCGTGGTGTTGGTTGTAGGAGTAATGGTAGGGATGTTTGGTTTGGTGGGTTGGGTAGTGGGTTGAAGGAGAAGGCGTGAGGMGGGATTGTAACGGGGCCGGTGGATGGTGAGTTTGTCTTCGATTAATTTCGCAAGACCGTACGTTTGGTGTAAGGTAGTAGGATTGTGGAGGGCGAGTTCGGATTGTAGCTCGGGTTTTAAGCCAGAGATGAAACAATTGCGAAGTGCTTCGGTAGATAAGCYGGTGACACAGTTGCTTATCTTCTCGAAGTCGGTTTGGTAAGAGGAAACGGTGGTGGTTTGGCGGAGTTTGAATAATGTAGCTTGGTGGTTTTCATAGGTGGAGGGACCGAATCGGGTTTCGAGAGCACGGGTGAAGTCCGGCCAAGATCCGAGGAGATTGTTATTTGAGAGATGTTTGTACCAACTTAGGGCATCACCGGTGAAGTAGAAGACGGCTATGGCSATGCGTTGAGCGGGTGGAATAGAGTAATAGGTAAAGTAGTTTTCCGCTTGGAAAACCCAATCTAGGGGGTTGGAACCATCGAATGTAGGAAGTAGGATTTTGGGTGGCGAGGGTTATCATTGTGGGGTGGTGGTGTTGGCGGTGGGGGTGGGTTGGGGGTTGTGGGTTCCGATTTTCTGGTTTGGTGAGGAAGGTAGTGAGAGTGGTGATGGCGTCGGTTYGCTCGGTCATTTTGGCGGATTGGGCGGTGATTTGGCTGATGAGGGTGGAGGTTAATTGGATGAGTGTTTGGATGTCGGATGGGGGATCGTCGGAAGTGGAATCCTTTCGCGGAGGCATGGTAACGATGATGAAAGCACCAAATGATGCAACCCAATTAGAGATGGGTCAATTCTCCCAAGCAGTTAAGAAGAGAAAGAGCAATCTTGGAGCAATTTTCTGATATCTCATTAAAAAAATGCAATGCTTTAAATACTAACAATGAATGGAAAATGCAGCTAAACTATCGGCTCATGGGACATGGAAAAGAACATGGGAAAACTACTGGTAGTGCTTCCTAATTATTAGCATGTGCATGCGACAATAAAAGAAAAGTGGTGAAGAGTTGGTAGCTTGTTTGAACCATTCTAGTCAAGGTACCGGTTGGGCTTTTTGACAAAGCGTTTGGGCCTCGAAGCCTGTTGGRCATCATGTGGTTGGGTTTGTGTAGCTGAGTGTCCCGTATCAATTTGTGTCATTCCCTTTTTAATCAGAAGCGGACACATTTTTCTTATGTTATATCGTTGGATTAGAGATGACATCTTTTTTGGCTTTTAATGTTTTATTAGAGATGTTATTCCTTTTAAACTTGGAGGCCGTTTAGTAGACACTTACCTTGGTAAACGCCTATCTGATCAATTACTTTATTGGGTGAACATAACAAGGACTGGTAATTTTACATAGTCAATCAGGGTGATAAATCTTACCTGGTAAATGTTTATCAGATGATAAATGCTTATTATCAATCTATTTCGATGGCAAGAAATATTATCACATAAAATAATAATAGTGACTCTTGTTGGTAACCGTTTGATAAGCGATCTATTAGGCCCAGGCTTTTTTGACGGGTTTCGGCCCGTCTTTGAACCGAGGCTTTTCTTTATTCAATCCCTAGGTATGTATGAGTATGACCTTTTGTCCACGAACATAAAGCCTGCAAGTGAACCAAATAAAATACATTGGGCTTGGGCCCAACCATAACAAGGCTTTGGCGTTGTATGCATGGCAATATGGCATTACGGGCACGCTTTATTTGGGTTTAAAATAACTAGAGTATGATCGATTTTAATAGTCCTGTTAAGAGGTAACTTTTGAATCTTTAAGAGGTGAATCTTGTTTGATAAAAAAAATCTATCTCTTAATGGTTTGTTAAAACTCTCTAAATAATTTTGTATCATGAGGCTTCCTTAACCATTCAGCGCCCTATTTTCATTGTAAATAATTACTAAACAATTATATTTCATTTTGCACTATATCATGAGAGTCTTTTAATCATTCTGCACCTAACTATATAAGCTTGACATGATTTTTGTCTCTTCCCTGAATTGTAAAGAGCGACCACCCGCTTCTCAGGTAGCCTGGAGTCACCGTATTTGAACCTCCGTGGCCACGAGAAAAATTTTATTTCCTCTCGGATTCGAAGCTGGGACCTCTTGACACTTTTGACATTTTGAGCTCAAGCTTAAACTAATTGAGCACCATCCTTATGATTCTATTAATGGTTTTAGAAATATAATAATTTAACTATGACTTTTCACTATCACATTAATTAATTTTGATCTCTTATCGAGTAATTTGATCTCAAACTCAAATCGGTTGAGTCATAATTGATCAAGTTTAGATACAAAAAACGAGATTGAATCATATAAATTAAAATTCTTATTCAACCTTATGAACTCTATTTATATGTTAGTAAATATTGAACTGAAAAACCATAATGGTGGTGTCTGATTAGTTTGAGCTTGGCTCCAAAGGTCAAAAGTACCAGGAGGTACCAGATTCAAATCCAATGAGGAATAAAAATCCCTTTGTGGCCACAAAGGTTCAAATGCGGTAACTCCGGGCTATCTGCAAAGCAAGTGGTTGCCCTGAGATTAGTCGGCTCGCATAGCGGATTGGATATCCAAGTTAATAAAAAAAAATCTTGAACCAAACTTAAATATAATTTGTATTCAATATAATTATCAGTTATATTTATTAAAAATAATATTTACATTGATGAATATTTCGTATTAAACCTATGATTCCTAAATATTTGGGTCACAACGTATTGGTTAAGGTTCGTAGAGATGTAATGGAAGTGCCATAAGATGGAACAAACTTATTTTACCAATATAATGTCAAAACAAAAAGTAATAATCTTTTATAACATCAAATACATCCTTATTGTTACATTTTATTCACTCTTTAAATTTTATTTATTGTATTTTATACTATTTAAAATTTCATTTTACCATTCTCAAAATTATAATAAACTTCTTATTTTGATATCATTTAATCATCTTTATAAATTATAATAATATATTTTATTATAAAAAAAYATTTAATTTATTACAATTTAATAAATTATATAAGTCAATAAAAATATATAAACAACTCATTATAGATAAAATCGAACATTTTATTTATCATGTCATATTATGTCCAGTTTTTATCCTATCAAATGCCAGAAGAAGTTTGTTTATCTTTTAGTAGTTCAATTAAAAAACAATATTTAAATCGTGAAAAAGTGAATCTTGTTTGACAAAAAAATGTTTGTCTTTTAATGGTTCTAAACTCTTCTTAATAATTTTGTATAATGTACATTCTTTAACCATTCAGCGCCCTAATCTTAACGTAGATAATTACCAAACAATTATATTTCATTTCACCCCTCTTAAATCATTTCCCACCCAATCCTTTAATAAATGTCAAACAACAGTGGATCCAAACGTACACTTAGGTTTGAAAAGTCAATTCCTACCATTTTGATACCATCAAACGTTACAGTTCCGTAATGAATAAGATAATCATATGAATCTCCACAAAATCAACCCCATATTCTTCTTCCTCCCCCTTTGTCCAGCAGTTATAAGGGTCTGATTCGAGTTTCAAAAAGGAAAGAGAAGAACACTCCCAATCTTTCTTTAAATTCGTCCCCTTTCCTTGCAATCTCATCATCATTCCCAGATCTTACTTCACCCAAACACGAAACCCCTTTTGCCAATCTTTCAAAATTAGGTTTTTGAGATCCTTTCTCTGATTTTGTTTCTCTTCTTATTGCATTCACAACAAGTTACACTACATCTGTTTTATTCGATTGCCCATTTGGGGGAAACACCTTCGAGATTTACATATACTTCTTTAGAACGGATGGCATTTGCAAGATAACACGCTCATTTTGGTTCAGATCAATGTCGAAGGCTTTGTGGTGGATCGCTTCCCTTTTTATTTTCTTATGCGTATCCCCCTCCCCTTTTGGGGTATTTGCGATTGATGATTTCAATCAAGCGTAAGTAGTCTCCAGTCTATTGTTCTAATTTTTGATTTTGAGAATCCAATAGTGGATGTCTATAGTGTAATATTGAGATTTGGGTCAATGCGTATTTACGGATTATTACAACTCCCTCGAGTTAGATTTACTTTGATTTTGGATCTCCAATGGGTGAATTTATGCTTCGAATCTTATGGATTTTAAGTTTTCTTTGACCAAATTGCTAATAGTATTCAAAATGGTTAACATCAAGCTCTGTAAATCGATAATGGTTTGTGTTCAATTAGCAAAATACCCCACATCTAGTTTGCATTTGCTATGCAATGCCTGGATTTTATGGGCTTTGGATGTTCTGAAATATAGAAGTCCCTAGTCTTTTATGCAAGCTGCCCGTTGAGTAACAAATAGCTCTATGAGTTGCATTGTTTGTAGGGGTGCACGAAAAGCTGACCAACCCAACCCGAAATAACCCAGCCTGAAGCCGCCCGATGGCTAGTTGAGTTGTAAAATCTTTAAACTGTGGGTGTTGGGTTGGAATCAGGGGATGAAAACCGATACCCATCTTATGTATTATCCGCCTCTGCAATCTTTTGACCATTCCCACTTCCTTCTAGGTATTGAAGTTGTAATTTCAGCTATTGATGAAAGGGTTGATTGCTAGATAGTGAGGATCCAGTTGAATGTGAATGTGTGCTATGAAAGCAATGTGTCATATAGAATCATGAAAGTATGTTGATAAATGTCATATGCTATCGGTATAAGTGGAGTCATTACTTAGATGTGTTCCAAGAATTGATCTCGGATGTTACTGTCCGACCAACCCAACCCGTACGGGTTGGGTTGGATGATTAAATCTTTTTAACGGGTTTAGATTTTTCAAACTGTACCAGTTGGGTTGGATTGTTCAAACGCTTTCAAACTGGCCAACACTTGAGCTAGCTTTTCAAAAAGCTAGCTTATGACTAAGCAAACAGGGTTTTATCATTAAGCTCAAAAAATAAGCTAGCTTATGGTTGCCAACATGGCTTTAGTGGGATTTGTAGATTTACTTCACCCTCTAAAATGTATCAAGAACAATGATGGTTCGCGGAATGAAGTTTGCAGTTTTAAATTGTGGTATATACGAGTGACAACATTTTACCTAGGGTGCATAAGAAGTTGCATCCTCGTTAAGTGTTTTCTTGGAACTTTCTAGATTGTAGCTTTGCAATGACCGTTCTTATTGTCCTGCAGGTTTCCTATCATAGAACCTGATCCAGGTCATACAAAACTTCGTATTTCCAGGGAAGGACTGGAGGCTATTTCGAGAATAACAAATCCTATAGCAGCCGTTGCTGTAAGCTTGATATCCATAGCCAATGATATTTTCAACTTTTTATCTTTGTAGTCTAGGGCCCAACATTCTATTTAAAGTCTTTTGAATAGCAAACGCTACCGGCTTTCATTTTGTAAAACTGCACCAAATGGGGATTCTTCATGTATTTATTTTAATTTTTCCTGCATATTTTGAATGATTTATGTGGCTATCTTATTAGGTGATTGGCCCATATCGATCTGGAAAATCTTTCTTACTTAATCAGCTTCTCTCACTTTCTTGTTATGAAGGTATGATCCCGTTTAGAAGTTTATGCTGGTACTGCACTTGTACCGCATGTAATTTGATTTTATTTGATGTAATTTTATGCTCTGAAGTTTGATACTTTGCAGGTTTTGGTGTCGGCCACATGCGTGACACTAAAACGAAAGGTATCCACCAGAATATTTCCTTAAGTTCTTGGAATTGTTTTATTGTTCTCCCTTGGTATAAATGTCCAGAATAAAAAAAGCCCTAAGTTTTAGAAATTTGTAATTGTTACACTTTATAATGAAATAAATGACAATTTTACCCTTAATAGTAGATGGATCAATGAATTTCTTCATCCCATAATTAGGGGTAGAATTGGAAAGTAGACACTTGTTTTGGGACTAACTAAGGGGATGTTTGGTTGGTTTTCATTTAAGTCCTGTATGGATAAAGCTGTCTGTGTGGATTAATCTATCTCCATAGATTGGGAAAGTTTTTGTTTGGAGAGTTTTTTCATAGATGGAAAGAGCATGTTTTTTAATTGGGAGGAGCAGTTATGGTAAAATCTTGGCTTTCTGCATAAAGCTCCCCCTAGAAGCTTACTGAATAAGCCACTTTCTATATCATTAAGCCACTGCTAAACAGTCATCCATAGCTGCCTGAATAAGTTGTGAGTCTCATGAAGCTCATTAAGCTGCTAACAAACATGCCCTAAATTAGAAATGTGGATACTTATTTTTGGATTTAGGGAGTAGTATATAATAATATGGACATTTATTCTGAATTAATGATCTACAAACAATATACACCAATTATATTTATGTTTTTTTTAATCTTTGCTTACTTATCTTTTGAAAGTAGATGGCACTATAACTTTGGTTACGTTAATAATGTTATTATAATTCATTTATCGGTTAAATTACTATTTTAAGCAATCACATATACCGTCTTTTGCTTTAACTTTAGTTGTTATCTTCTATAATTGTCTGAAGTCTAAAGCTTGTGTAAGTATAGACCAATAACTATACGAGTATATATTTGTATCACTTAATGTATCGTCTGTGGTTTTTAGGAATATGGGTATGGGGAACGCCGGTTGAAATGGACATCAATGGAGTGAAAACCTCCGTCTTTTATCTAGACACAGAGGGATTTGAAAGTATCGGGAAGTCAAATGTCTACGATGACAGGTGTTCTACGGGTCTTAGCATCATTTTGTCTTTTTCTCATCATTTGTAATCATGGATCCTCTTTTCTAATCCAAATTTTTACAGGATATTTGCTCTCGCAACGGTTTTGAGTTCCGTGCTCATCTACAATTTGCCTGAGACGGTTAGTTTTCAGTCTCTAGAGGGTCGGTCTGAGATTAGGAACAGTATTCTTACTTGGACAGATTGTGGAAATGCAAATGTGAAGTTTCTTTATTGCATTCTTCATTTTTGTCCAAATTCTTTCTTTCGTTCATTTTCACAAGAACGATGGTTTCACCTAGTGAAAATCCAGTAAGATTTTATTGCTTATTTATATCCAACATTTTTTGAAATTTAAAACTACCTACTTTTCTCTCTTTCATGCACTTTTCATAAGCCGGGGGTCTTCTCGGAAAAACCGCTCTACTATTTAAGGTAGAGGCCAAGTCTAGGTACATTTTACCCCCCCCCCCCCAAATCAAAAGTCCCGGGGGAAGTTCTGTTAGGAACTCAAAACTGATTGATGAATATGGGCGTCTAATTCATCATGAATCACACATTCATGATGAATATGGACGTGTTATTCATCTTGAATCACACATTCATGATGAAATTGACGTGTTATTCATCATGAATCACACATTCATGATGAATATGTTACAACATTCACCATAGTCACTCTTTTTGAATATAGATGAGCGGCAGTGAAGGTTTTACCTTGGTGCATGCCTCAGTTCTGCTTAAATTACGCGTTTGCTGGTGATTTAATTTTCATCTTTTCAGATACGCGAAGCTGATATATCCCGATTGTCATTTGCTGTTGAGCTTGCTGAAGAGTTCTATGGAAGGTTAGTTTTGATTTGAAGTGGTCACTATGTTTCTTTAATGATTATATTATTGTCGAAATTAGCTTTCTAGCCCCTATAACATGGCCAAAACTGACTTCTTTTTTTCCTTTCATTTTTTGGTGTCTTCTTGTCAAATGAACAGAGTAAAGGTAACCTTCAAACGACTTCGATATTTCTTCAAGCGTATATCCTTTCTTTCTTTAAAGACAGTAAGGAGCTTGTGGTGAGGTCAAGTTTTGCTTTGCGTGTGATGGGTTAGACCTGAATATACTTGCAGGGGCAGGATGTGGCTTTTGAACCCGCGAAACTACTGTGGCTTATACAACGTGACTTTTTACGTAAGTTAAAAGAAAATTGTTATTTTATGCAACTCTGTATATAATATTTTTATATGGAAAAACTCACACACTCCTCATGTTGGTGAGGCTTGAACCCTTGACCTCAAAGAAGGTTGGGATCTACCGGGTAACCTGGATGCCGTTGGGCCATTGTAGCTCCATTTTTTGTAATTCTTGTATGGAATGGTGAATTTTTAAATTGATGGACTTGTAGACCGTACAATGTGGCGTTATAACTTCATTCTTTGACGTTGCTTTGGCTTGTTACAGAGGGGAAGTCTGTAAAAGAAATGGTAGATGAAGCTCTACGGCATGTTCCTAACTCTGATGGTTAGTTTTTTTCCGTGTATGTTACTCGATTTATGGGCTATTTATCTGATTACTTTAACCCCACCTCTGGATGGGATATAATGGGCTCTTTTGGTTTGGTTTTATTTATCTGATTACTACCCCATCTGTCCCAAAATAAATGCTACGTTATTATTAGTCAAATATCTAAAATACCCTCCACAACTACAAAACAGAGTACTCTTTCAGTTTTCGTCACCAGAATCAATGTTTTTATTCAGGCATTTGTTAACCGGTTAAGGACCGGTCTTAGGTTCAAGTTTTAGGACCAAAATGGGCTTTTGCCTATAACAGCTCCTTGGGCTGGGCCTTCTTTAACCTGTCCTCGGTCCTTACTGGTCCAAAGTCAGTTAACTGGTCCTCTGCGCATCTCTAGTTATTGATATTGTAAAATGGTTACTAATGGGCAAAAAAGAATATAAATTGGAACTTCTGTAAAGGTGGAATATTGCATTTACTATAGGAATTCCAGAAAGAAAATTATTGCATTCTTTTTGTGACGGAACTTATCCAACAAATGCCTGAGTAAGTGTGTTGTTTTTTCAGGTGACAAAAATATCGATCAGGTACCAACTCTTCAGATATCTATCTGTGAGACATGAATTATATAATTTACCTACTCTTGGAAACAACCGCTTTACCCTTTAGGGGTAGAGATCAGGGCTGCAAACATCGCACCCTCCCATACCCTGCTTTCGAGCAGGATATAGCAGGTTTGTTTGGGTTTGGTTTAACGTCTAATTTTTTGTGTGTAAAATAGGTCAATCAGATTCGAGACTCCCTAGCTATTATGGGAGACAATAGCACCGCTTTCAGCTTACCACAAGTAAGGTCTTTACATACAATTACTTCATAAAGAATCCTGTTCTTTTCTATCTTGCTAATAGTTCCTATTCTGCATTTTCGAGCAGCCACACCTCCAAAGAACGAAGCTCTGTGACTTGAAAGATGGGGAGCTTGACCAGAGTTACGTCAAAAAGAGAGAACAATTGAAAGAAGTTGTCAAATCTGTTATCCGTCCAAAGATTGTACAGGGCAAATCGCTTAATGGGAAGGAGTTTGTATCTTTTCTTGAAAAGGTTCCTGTCAATAACCCTTTGTTTATACTAATAAGCTAGTTGTTGGCTGACAAGCTAATCATGTTTGGTGAAACTAGCTGATAAATTGGATGACAAAGTAAAATGACCTAAAAGGACATGTTGAAAAAATAAATGAAAAATACTAGGGGAATAATTGAGAAAAATGAAAAATCCGTCCCTGGAGCTTATTGAAACACTACTTGTAGCTTATGGCTAGCCAAACGAATCTTTTTTTCCCTTTCTAATAAGCTCAAAAAATAAGCTAGCTTATGGTTGCAAATATGACCTAATTCGATCAGATAGCAAATTTTCAGATATCCATTTACGACCCTTTTTTTATTTATCATACGATTGTTAAATAACTTGAGAAAATTGTTCGATTTTAGATTTTGGAAGCTTTGAACAAAGGGGAGATTCCATCAACAGGCTCTCTCGTGGAGGTATTCAACAAGAAAATTCTCGAGCGATGTCTGAAGTTATATGAGGATAGTATGAGCAAAGTGCGTTTACCTATCTCCGAGCAATCCCTTCAATCCATCCATGAAGCTTCAAGATTAGAAGCGTTTAAAGTTTTTGAAGAACAACATTTTGGCCGTCACCATGCAAAGAAATCTGTTGAAGCACTCAATGAAGACATTGAAAAGGTAAGAATTYGAGCATTTGCGTGCGCCTGTAAACTATACTAGGATTCTTGTTATGTTTTGTGCGTTTTAACAGTAGGGGAAGGTTTAAATGAGAATTGTGAGAACCTGTATATTCATTGCATTTCCATTAATGCATATGCTCACTGAAATTCAAATAGTGCATATTCATTAATGAATATGCACTATTTGAATTTCAGTGAGCATATGCATTAATGGAAATGCACTATTTGAATTTCAGTGAGTATAAGCACCAATGCATGTATACTTGCGTAGAGGGAAGTTCTATTAGGAACCCAAAATCGATTAGGAACCCGGGAAGTGTCTACAACCTGCCACGTGTCCCTCTYCAGGATGAATATTCATCATAATACATTCATGATGAATATGGAAGTGTTATTCTAATATTCCTGATGAATACGCCAAATGTCGTGCTGTGGGCGGTTCTTGGGTTCCTAATCAGTTTTAGGTTCCACAAATATTTATGGTTCTCAAATAAACTTTTGCCTTCAGAGGTATTCTTACATCTATATATCGCTCACACATGCTAGAGGTCTTCACGGAAACAACCACTCACCACTCTACCCTTTGGGGTAGAGATCATGTTTGCGTGCATCCCACCCCATAGACCCTATTTTCGAGTGGGATATACTGGTTTCATTTGGTTTACAGTATCAACCTCTATATTCTAATATATTTATAAGTTCTTTGGCAGATGTTTAAGAATTTCGTTATGGCAAACCAATATCAATCCTCAACATTGTGTGAGGCACTCTATACAACATGCGAGGACAAAATGGACCAACTTCAAGTCCTTAGATTGCCGTCCATGGCCAAATTCAACGCAGGGTTCCTCCATTGCAACCAAAGTTTCGAAAAAGAGTGTGTCGGGCCTTCTAAAACAATATACGAGCAACGGATGGTGAAGGTTGGCTTATCTTTTCATGTTACTATCATTATATCTGAAGACAAATGGTTAACGGAATTATGGGCAAACCTTTATTTACCTCAAATTTCGTTCTTTCTCACACCTTTTTTGAAAACCGGGGGTCTTTCACTGAAACAGCTGCTCTGCCATTTGGGTAGGGACATGGTCTGCATACATCCTGGACCCCACTTATGGGTGGGATATATTGGCCTAAAATTTAAAATGGCAACCACATATCGATGAACATTTTTGTGTACATTTTCGAAATGTGACCAAGCCTTTATTTATCATTAGGACTTCCCACGTCTTTTTTCTTTTTCGCACACTTTTGCAGACCAGGGGTCTTCACTAGAACAGCTGCTCCCTTTACGGTCCAAGCTGCGGACCCAGGATTTTTTGTTGAGCGGGTGCACCTTTAGGGTGCGTTTGGTACACTGGACAGGACATAACAGAACATAATAGGGATCCTGTTCCACATTTGGCAGGACTTTTATGTGGAACATACATGAATAGAGTGGAACAAAGTGAAACATGCCTGTTCCACCCCTACCTGGAAGAGGATGGAACAAGGTGGAATAGACTTATATTTTACCAATAACCTCAAAATAAAACTTAATTCCCGTCTAAAACGTCAAATAGGTCTCATTTTTACATTTTATTCATTCCTTAACTTTTATTTATTGTATTTGATGCTTTTTAAACTTTCATTTTACCGTCCTCAAAATATTATTTTTTATATGGTTTCTATATTCTTATTAATTTATGTAATTTATTATATATTAATAATAAAAGTAGATTAGGGATAATATAAAATTGAAAACTACATAATTTTTTATTTTTGGTTTCATTTTAGTTGTTCCTATGAAAACTTTATGATGATATATTTTGTTATAAAAACAATTATTTTATTATAATTTAATAAATTTAATAAATTATACAAAAAATAGAAACAACTCATTACGAGTAAATTGGTCATTTTACTTGTTCTGTTATGTCTAGTTCTGTTTGACCATACGCATAACAGCTGTTCTGTCCTGTCCTGTTATGTGTTGTTTTGTTCTGTCTGGACACCAAACGCACCTTTAAGGTGGATCAAAGGCCCACAAAGTTGTGTTACGTTTTTTTAGCCTAATTTCACCTTTTTGAGGGATTGTTCAAGTTTTTTGGTTGATTCGCTAGGATTTTTTAAGGTTTTTGGTTGATTTAGAGGGGATTTTTTTATTTCTTTGGGTTGATTTCGAGATATTTTTTCATGTTCTTGGTTGATATTAAGAGAGTTTTTCGGTTTTTTGGTTGATTTCGAGGGAACTTTTTCAGTTCGGTTTTTTGGTTGATGTCCCTTGTATTCTCTAATATCCCGGAGCACCATTCAAAGTTTAGCAGATGCATCTTTCATACACCAAAAAAATTCTCTACTTGCGAAAATCTGTTTGAGAGGGTGCATGGGACCCTGGGGCCTTCATAGGTCCCCCTTATGTCAAGGACAGGTCTGCATAAATAGGTGGGATATACTGGGCTTGTTTTGTTTGGTTTTTTTCCAAAACTCGAAAGGGCAATCATGAACTGAAACATTTTGTGTACGTGCAGATGATGGGAAAGTCAAAATCTTTATTCATCAAGGAATATAATCACAGACTGTTTAATTGGTTAGTGGCTTTCTCGCTTGTAATGGTGATTGTTGGTCGATTTATCATAAAATTCATCTTGATCGAGATTGGGGCGTGGATACTCTTTATCTTCTTGGAGACATACACACGGATGTTCTGGTCACCGGAGTCTCTTTATTACAACCCCATTTGGCATTGCATAGTAGCGACTTGGGAAACGCTCGTTTACAGCCCGATTCTTGATTTAGACAGGTAAATCTAGAGCTTATCTATTGAACATGCTATGTTTATCCAATATTTGACTTTTTATGACATGAAAATTCTTATGAATTCCTGGAAATTTGAAGTAAAATCTGATAATGAGATCGAAGTTAGTTAGGAAATCAAGAAATGATCATCACCGCTGGATTTGATTAGCAACAGTCACTCCCTATGGCTGGTGAAAATTGTTACCTTCGGACTGATAGTTTATAAGAAAGTTGTATCTATAAAATATTTAAATTACCCTCCAATAACAAAAGACAAAATAAAAGACCCATGTGGGCTCGAATACATACGAGAATCTTGTGATCAATCTCCGTCTTTCGTTTAGCTTTTATGGAATGTCATTTGACTATTAGTTATATATGTAAAATACCCAAAGAATCTTGTCGGCCCAAACAGAAACCAAACGGACCCAATAAAGCCCACATAAGGTAGGATCTCGGGGTAGGATTTACACAAACATCGCCTTTACCTCAAGGGGTAGAGAAACTGTTTTTGTGAAGAATCTTTTCGAACCAAAACCAAAACCAATCCAAACCAAACGAACCTAGGAAAACCCACATAGAGGGTAGATCAGGGTAAGGATATACGCAAATATTGCCTTTTACCCCAGGGGTAGACAGATTGTTGCTGTGAAGAATCTCTTCGAACCCAAATCAAACGGACCCAATAAAACCCACACAGAGGGTWGGCTCGGTGGGTAGGATGTATGCATATATTGCCTTTTACCTAAGGGGTAGAGAGACCATTTTTGTTAAGATCCCTTGCCTTGTAAAGGAAAAATTAAAAGATTGCTGCTTTAACAACGACAAATAAAGTACGTACCTTGTTCCTGTAGTATGTGGAAATTTTCTTGATCTTGAATCTTTGATATTTTACTTAAAAAATTCAAGATTTTTAAGCGGTTGTTGGTTGACACAGATGGGCGATACAAATTGGGTTATTAGCGTTGATATTGTTGCTATACTGGCGATGCTACGGAAGGAGGAAACATGGGTCGTATTCTTTGTTACCGTTGTACAACAATGGTGGTTCCAAAGTTCGGCATAGATCAGAATAGAAGACCATGGCAGCAGCAGCAGCATCATCATCATCAACAACCTTTTTTACTCATTATTTTTTGGAAAACAAAATGCAGGAAGGAGGGTGGGGATGGTTGAGGTTGATATACAAGTTTTCTTTAAATGATATAAATTCATAGAAAATGTAGAAGAATGGAATGTATGTAACTTTAGCAATTCAAATTATATGTATGATTGTGTAAAGGCATTCCATACTTCATGGAGTACAAAAAAAGGTTAGATTACTGACAATCCCGACCTACCCCACAAGAAACCCGCTTCTTAGGAGGCATTTCAGAGCGAACTTAGTACCTGAGGTTAGTAGAGGGGTTTAAGCTTGTCTCCTGCAGAATTTATACCTGTTTTGTATTTGAGTAAAGTCGTTCTGTACATTTACCAACCGAGCTATATATGTTCTCTTGAAAGCACTTGCTTTTATTGTTGACCATGGAAGCCGGCTAGATTATTAATACCATGGTGTATTGTATACTTCACCAGAAAATCCATTTCCATTTTTGGGTTTGTTTTTATTATGGTTTTTTAAGTATATTTTTCCTTATTTGTCCCATATGGACTTGTTTTTTTTTCCTCATAGAAACAATTGTTTTATTTTTTGATAGTAGAGGTTCAAACCGAACTCTGATATAAAGGGTTTGTTTGGTTTGATTAAAATATATGTAGTTAGGTATAGGCAAGTTGGTAGGAAGTCCGCGGCTAGCTCAGGATCAAGACCCATTTGGACCGGTTACTAAAAACCCGATTTTGTGTTCTCAAAGCCTGATTTGTGGTGTTTTAGTGATTACACGAAGTATTTTTAAAGTAAGTTAACGTGAAAGAAGGTTAGAAGCGAGAATGTTCAACTAGATGATAAAGTAACACTTGGACAAGAAGGATTCTCCTCATAGATCACTGGTTCATGTGGCCTTGGCTGTTCTCCAGAGCCTCTAGGATTGGTCGAAGGTGTGTGCAAACTGGATCGGATACCACGGTTAACAAAAACAAATGGAAGGCAATGCAGGTGTTTTAATTTAATAGAAACGCATTTAAAAGTTGTAATAACAAGAAATCTCATTGTTGACTAGGGTAGTAGTATTGATTCAAACCCCCCTATTTCAACAATGTTACTAGTTTCGGACTTCCGGTTTCTAAAATTAAAATGCTGATCAACTCTGCTAAAAAACAACCACACAAAATTCATTCGGATTTGAGTAATCAGAGCAACGCGGCTTTGAGGGATTTTGTAAATTCCGCTAGTTCTTTAAGCCCTTCCTCCGGGGACTTGGCCTCACCTAATATTTTCACAATAGCACTACCAACGATCACACCATCCGCTCCCCATCCAACCACCTACAACCGCCACAAGATTACACCAAACAAGTCACGTGGCCGCCAAAGAACAATGGTACAAGACTTTCGTGTTCACTTGTTTGTGTTACTTGTTACTTCTTCCGTCTCAAAATAAATGTCCACAATGAAAAAGATACATAATTTTAGAAATGTGTAATTATTACACTTTTTAATTTACTGAATGTCAATTTTACCCTCTTAATAACAGAGGGAGAAATGAATTTTTCAATCTCATAATTAAGGGTGGAATCGGAAAGTATGCACTTAATTTAGAAATGTGGACACTTATTTGAAATCGGAAAGTATGCACTTAATAGAGCCTGGCTACTTGTGATCTTTATTACGAATTGATGATATTGGTTTAACCCAAAACAATACCCCTACTTTGTCACGGTTAAAGGGTATTTAAGACATTTGATTGATAGTCAAACGTTTCTATCAAACTTGTAGCCAGGCAAATTGTGGGTAAACTGTATGAAAACGCAACGTACTTTGATCTAATTTATATTTTGGGTAATGCATTTTCAAAACCTTGATTTTGGTACCTCAGATGTGACCTCTCGACATTTAGGTACCTAGTTTACATATGTGCATGGAAATCCAACATCTGAGGGTACCAAAATGAAGGTTCTGAAAGCATGCAACACAGAATAGAAATCAGACCAAAGTTCGTTGCATTTGCCCTTTTCAGTCAGTCAATAATTAATCGCTGCATACCTGTTTCACATGCTCGGGTTTTGAAATGCCAAAACCAACGGCCACAGGCTTGTTTGATACCTGTAAAGTGAACACGGCAAGATGACGAGTCAATATTTTCATTTTCATCTTATTAATGAATCTGAAGCAGTTAAGGGATTAAAAAACAAACCGCTTTGATTTCCTGCAGGAGCGATTGAACCTTTTCGCTCACGGAACCACGAGCTCCCGTTACTCCAATAGAACTCACCTATTAATAAGGTTTATCCGGTAAATAATGAGAGAAAGAAAAAACCAAACCAACCTGATCCAATAAATCTCATTCGAAGGTAGGGTCTGTGGAGGATTAGATGTAGGCAGACCTGATATCTACCTCAAAGAGTAGAACAACTATTTCTGCCAACAAATAATGAGATGAAGTTGCCAAAAGAGGCTCTTTATCATACTTCTTTTTCCTGATTTTTCAAAATTTTGAAGCAGCATGACTACATACCTCGCTCTACCAGAGTTAAGTTGCAACATTTCTTTTTCTAGTAAATTCTTAGTCTTAAATTACTTGCTTGCTCCATTATCGTCGATACAGAGAAAAGATGATACTCCCTCCGTCCCAAAATAAATGTCCACAATGAAAAACGCATGCAGTTTTTGAAATGTGTAACTATTACACCTTTGAATTAACTAATAGACAATTTTACCCTTAACAATAGAGGGAGTAATGAATTTCTCCATCTCAAAATTAAGGGTATAATCGGAAAGTAGACACTTACTTTTGAAAATGGACATCTTATTTGGTACGGAGGGAGTAGTGATTTAGTTTCATATTTCCTTATTTTGTCACTAAAGGGTAATCAAGAAATTGGATGACGGTCAAATATTTCTCTTAAACCATGGGTTAAATGTTGAAAATTCTGTGTATTTTCGTTAACTAGGAGAAAACAAAGAAATATGAGCATCCAATGGAAGCTTACAAGGTACAGAAATCCCTCTGTGGCTTCAACGATGGATTTCATTCGTTCTCTTGGAGTAGTGGGCGTTGTTAGTAGTACCTTAAAGAAATAACAAGGCTTCAGTAAGTAACAAATGAGACACAACCAGAATGTGAGTATATAGCATCCGTATACTATGTTCATTTATGCAACTTGGAGCGGGTTTAAATGAGAATAGGAGAACCAACTATTTCATGAATTATTTTTAATGAATAAACCTAAAATATTCATGAATTATTTTTAATGAATAAACCTAAAATATTCATGAATATCATGCATTTTCATTATTCATAATATTCATCACAAATATCTATCACAATATTCATTATGAATAGTTGGTTCCAGGTTCTCAAAATATTTATGGTTATCATTTAAACCTGCCACTATGCAACTAATATTTTTCAAGACAAACTTTATTTAAATATATATCGTTTTGACATGCTAGTTTGCAGCTTTATTCCAAAAAAACTGAAATAAGTGAACATACCAACTCGATATTATGCTTAGAAGCTTCCCGTCTTAAAACCTCAGTTTCCTCTAGAGGAACATCTGGAACCACGAGTCCTAATAGCATACACACACTTAATTACAAATTCATAACACTGGAACCGTAAAAAATGGCATGCTAGAATCAGAAATATGAAGTAAACAAGGAAGATTGTATCCGGGAAATTGCATAGTAGCAACTATATTTACATTTGAAGTCATGTACATATTGGCGACAGCCGACAGTATATGATATTCTACTCTCTGAAAAAGGTAATCAAACATAATTTATGTTACCATGTATTCCAACTTCTTTCACGGTGATCATGAACTTCTCCACTCCACGCTTAAGGATCGGATTATAATAAGTGAACAATGCAATTGGGCAGGATAACTGGGGTACCACCTATTTGGAGTTTAGAATAAGAGAATCGATATTAGACTTTCATGGAGAAAAAACCATGCTCTCATTATATAAAACACCGATATAAAGAAAACGGATAATGAATAATAAAGGAAAGCTTTTGATCCCTTAGGGTACGTTTGGTACGATGACCTGACAAGATGGAACATGTCAGTGAGAGTGAGATACGCGGGGTGAAGAATCGTGGAAAGTTTTAGGGTCTTAATTGGACATGGGTGGTTTAGTAATTTATCCATCTCGTCCCATCTTCCTGATTTTTGTTCCACCTAGTCCAATCTAAATTTTGCACCTACCGTGGACAAAAAGTTTTTGTTCTGTTCTGTCTTGTCCAGTGTTGTCCTGCGTACCCAATGCACCCTCACTTCCTCTCAAACATCAAGAGTGAATCACATATCCTCTATACATACAACGAGAAACAGGGTTTATTATGTTCTTGAAATAACAATCATGTTGAATATAGGGTACCTTGTTCAACATTTCCAGAATCGAATCCAAATTGGCCCCTCTTGCCAGTGCTCGAGTAGCTGCAGCCTGCATGAAGAAATGAAAAAAAAGTAGAACATTAAAGATCTAGAAGAACATCTAATACTTAATCAATAGATAACAAGGGGCAGGTTCATTTAGGAACCTTAAATATTTTAGGAACCCAGGAACCATCTATTTTGCGAGTAATCATCATGAATATCCGTCACAACATTCATCATGAATATCGGTCACGACATTCATCATGAATATCTTGTCGCATTATTCATCAAGAATACTCACAAAAAGGGCGGTTCCAGGTTCCTAAAATATATAAGATTCCTAAATGAACCTTAAATATTTTAGGAAGCTAGAAACCATCTACATTGTGATTCATCATGAATATCTGTAAGACATTTATCATGAATATTTTATCACATTATTCATCATGAATACTCACAAAAAAGATGGTTACCGGTTCCTAAAATATATAAGATTCTTAAATGAATCTTAAATATTTTAGAAATCTAGAAACCACCTGCATTGTGATTCATCATGAATATCTGTCAGACATTTATCATGAATAATTTATCACGTTACTTGAAACTCACAAAAAGGTGGTTCCTAAATAAACCTAAAAATTCACTCTAATTTACCTGAATAACTGGTCCATCAGCCAAGGGATCAGAGTATGGAACACCCAATTCGATTATATCCGATCCACAAGAATCAAGCACCTTCAATGCTTCAGCTGTTGTTGATAGATCAGGATCACCAGCGGTGATAAATGGTATCAATGCTACCTAAAAAACAGATAAGAGACATTAAGAACAAATAACCCCAGATTCTAATGATCGTCTTTAATTTGCGAAATCAAATAAACCCCCAATGCTAACGATCGTCTCAAATTTGCAAAACATGTTTACAGATAGAAATCTACAACCAACAATTCAATCAGAACCTATACAATCCAATGAAACAAAAGCAAACAAATCAACTTATCAGCTAAAACCCACAATAGCTCAAGAACAAACGACGAGCCTTCAACGAAAATCAAGCAAAAGAGTGATATAACCCTAGACTTACTTACTTTTCCTTCCTTTTTCAATTTGGAGAAGGTCTCAGATAGTCCAAGAGTCGATGAAGAGACAGCGAGTGATGCCATAGGAGGATTGAAGGATGATTTGATAGAAAATGGAACAGAATTTCGAGAATTGAGACGGAAGAGAGAATGAGGTTTCTTCTGGTGTAGCTGAAGAAATGAAGCTGCTGAGTTCCCTGCAATGGCCATCTACAATCCTCTTCCTCTTCGTATCGGTTGAAGCCTGAAACGCTGAACAAGAGTGCAGGGTACACAGACTCAGTGAGGGGAGTATTAGGGCAGATGAAAATGGGGGTTATTTACATCGAATCTTTAACCCCCGTTTTGCAAAGTCATATTTTTCTATTTTTATTTTATTTTATTTTATTTTATTTTGTAATTTTTAATCATTAATATCGAGCAAATGACTAAAATACCCCTGATTTTCGAAATTTGTTTACGAGGGTGATGGTTATGGATTACTTTTTCATACAATTTGACCAAAATAAAAACATATATCTAGCTTTAAGCAAATAAAGATTTGATTAGTATATCTAAAATCACAATAATATATTCATAATCAGATATTTAAATTGTTTTTATTAATACATGGGATAATTTGGCCCATCCTTGTTGAAATAGGTGTTTTGAATAACTCATAAATTACTCTTATTTAATACTTTCCAAAAATAAAATAATTAGATTTTACGAAATATGTAAAAAATAACATAAAAAACATATAACATCTTGTAACAATTCTTGACAGACATATTGCTGCGACAACCATTTTTTATACATGAATTACTGTTTATTAATGCAAATTAAAAGTACAACATATTAAAACTTTATTTTTAAATTCATATAACTAACTGCAGATAAGCATAACCAAATACATGATAAATATTCATTTTAAATATAGAAAATCTAAAATATAATTAAGATAATCATTGAGTTCTAACAAAATGTTTAATTACTATCTTTATAAAAAAAATCATATTATTAAACCAAAAATTAATTATTTTGTTAGTAAATCAAAATTAAATTATAATAAAAAATTGAATAAAAAAAGTTACACCAAAAAAACGAAAACTATTAAATAGTTAATTTGATATTAATATTAATATATTTTCTTTTCAAAATTGTATATTATCTTCAATTTTATATTTCATTTAAATATGAAAATAGTAACTCTTTTTCAAAACCATATAAAATCGTATTATATCAATAAACACAAAGAACAAAAACTAAACATTAAAATCGAGATTTATTTCGTTACGTTACGCAAGTATCCTTTTAATTAGTACTAGTTGTGTGCCCGCGCAATGCGGCGGGATGTCAAATTTTATTATGAATAGAGAAATTGACACCTCAAACATACTCGGTGTATCTCACTCAAAATCAAGATCCAAGTGGATAAGATGTACACATACATTCATATACCCCTGCGACGTAAAGGCCACACGCATCTAATGTGGTACTTAACTTTAGGCCATTTACCCAAACGCTTACCTGATAGCTGTTTACCGGTAAAATTCGTCACTCAAACTTACTTTTGCAGGTTATAAAATTTTGTCAAATTCATTCAAATTGAAATTTAGAACTCCTAGATGTCAGTCTACTTGRACAACTGCAACCATTTATAAAAAAATAAATTGTTTGTTTATAYTTGTAAAAACAAACACATTTGTTTACCAAGCGCTTATCGGGTAAACATTGATCGACATAAAACATCATAGGCTGCGTCAGAGGCACATCTCCCTTTCCCAACGCCTTAAAGTAACCAAACTTAGTGACATCAATGACCGGGACCTTGTAGGCTGAAGACTTCTCCTTAACGTCCTGTGGCACCATTGACCTGAGCTTGTCGACATTCACGATAGGACAATGGAACTTGTTCCGGAGCCTGTGGAAATACCTCATACCGACTTTATCGAAGTAACCGGATGGTACTTGTTGAACAGGATCCGGTGATGATGCATTCCTCCGGCAACCACTCTAAAAACTTAAGATATTGGCTTCTCCTTCTTCTCCTTGAAAAGAGCCAAAAGCGAAACACCAGAAACCTTCACAACTTTAAACCTGACTCCAGAAATATCTCCCACGACATGACCCTTTCGCCCAAATCCAGCAATCATAACTTCATCCTGTCAAAAGAAAAAACAATTACGGGTTAAGTAACCCTCAAGAAAATGAGGTAACTGTTGTTGTGCCTAGCTTTATCAACTACTTTGACCGATAATTTTTGGTTATTCTTGTAAGAAGTAAGGAAACCCTTTTAAAGCTTAAAAGAATACAAAAAGAGCAATAATTAAAAAGAAAATAAAAACAAGTTTTTATTTTTTTCAACGATTCATGACCAAGTTAACATACAGAAGTTAGTCTAACACAATAGGAGGAACTAACACAAAACCCACCAAGATCGCTTCGAGTGTTGACGAACATCGTGAGGGCAAAATTTCACCATGTAGATGCCACATACTTCCTTATCATCCCAAGTGATTTCTTTGTGTCCCCTTCTCTCTTCTTCAGTGAAATTGCGAGCTGCTGATGTGGCTGCAGAAGCTGCTGGTAGCTATGTGTTGGTCCCAAAGGGTCTACAAGAATACTAAACAGTTTGTAGAAGAGGGGGGGATGAATACAAACACAATTTTCAAATTTAAAATATATATTGATAAAGAAGATCAATACAGATTTTACAAGATTATCTGCGGAAAGATAAGGTATAAGAAACATATCTAAACAATCTTAAGTTACACACAAAGGTTAGCAAATACAAGAAAAGATATTGCTAAAAGAGTCTTTTACTTAAGCTGAAAGAAGCTTGAAGTAAGAATGAGAATAGAGAGTGATGCGC